AAAAAAAAAGATTTATAAAAAATAATTACGATATTAACTATAAATCATAATAGCGATATATAACCTTGTAAACGTCGTGGACGCTTGTTGGGGGAGCCGTTAGTACTCGAAGTCGGCCTTGTGTGGGTCCCTGACTATGTGTACGTCCAACTTTTTCGCCACTCGAAATGTGACTCCTTACATGGGCTAAACATTTATCACGATCCCCTCTTTCATTATCTACATTTCGTTCATTGTTGTGCTGAAGATAGGAAGATAGAACAATATTAATTAGCTCTTGGAAACGAATAATTCTAACTACTGATTTAGAAAAACCCAGTTAATACGTAAACTATTCATAAATGATATTAATATTCTCACTTGACTAAATAAATAATTTGATGCATGACCTATTAGTAATTTTGTAGAAAGAGCGGCAGTAATTTACAATTAATGGTGAATGATGAATAATTGAATTGAATTCAAATAGTGTCTAAATATCTATTCATAATTTCAGTCAGATATTGTTATTTTAATCCTCTTCCATGTGATTTATTCCAAATATATTTCATCAATGTTAATAAAACAAAGAAAATTAAGGGAACCTGGGTTAATTAAATATATAATTTTTTAATAAATATAGCAAATAAGAATAACTGCATATTAAAACTCACTTTGTTAGTATCAGAGCTTGATCTTGCAGACGCCATAACTGCATCACCTTCATGATCAACTGCTTTTTCCAATTGGTTGCTAAAAATTCAATGATCATTTTAGTATGTTAAAAAGTATTTGAAAAACAAACGTAACACTTTCATAATATATACAAAATGTATATTTGAAAATTATTAGTACTAAAGCATTATTAAAAAAATATGCATCAAAATTTTGGCCGACCAAAACCAGAATGGTTTCAGAGTAAACCATTTCATTTAATTAATTTTGATCATGTTAGTGATATCACAAAAATAATGGTTGCATAGAATCGGTCCAAATTTTTGTCATTTTTTTTGTATACCATAGTATCTACAGTTGTGGCCATGCTTACAGCTCTACGTTTCAACGGACTAGCAGGTATCACATTGGCAGGAGTCGTTGCCATGGTTGCATTACAATTCTTATCTACAGACACAACCTAAAAATTGAACATTAAACATGCATTAACTTTAATTACAAACAAATGTATGATAGTAGCAAATTTTATGCATATGACGTCCACAGGTAAAATATGAATTTCTAAAACTTGAATACGAGATTAATTCATTGATCTATTAAATTTTATAATCTTGCAAATCACAAATAGCATAATAATTAATTTATTGAATAATGACTACGAAATCTATTTTATTTATTGTGTATGTATACATGTAAAAAATGAGGAGTAATATTAGTCAAGGGTACTGATCTTTCTTAATGATATAATATATTTATGTCTTTTTTGATAACGAATTTTCTCACTTATTTGACGAAATGTTTTGCAAGAATTATTCAAACAAATATGAAAATTAATATTTTCACTTGGACTAATTATTCTATAAAGCAAGAATTATGATTTTTTTAATAAATATAACTGTTTGTACAGATATTAACGCGAATATGTATAAAAATGTAGAAAAAATGAAACATGCTATTTTTTAAAATTTCAATACATACTAAAATTCTAATTTACACAAAAGTTATTTATTAGTTCAACAAACACAATGTATTTTAGATCACTTTCAGACAAACTGTGAGTATGCATTAGCCATAACAAGTGGAAGTAGTTAAGTTTGCATATATTATGTATTATTTATCATAACTGAAGATGATGTTTACTTTCATTCATAACTAAGATGATGTTGGTTTTCTCGCAGTTTGTCGCCAATGGTGCAGTAGTTTCAGTCTCGATTCTTCTACGGGCCTAAAAATACACCATTATAAAAAAATCATGGAATAAGAACAGTATGAAATAGTACATATTAATATAAAGATATAAGATATAGACAAAAATATAAATATTTTCCACTTCATTTAAATGAAATTCATGAATCATTAATATCAAAAATATTAATTAAATCTGGTTAATACAAATAATATAAAATGAATAATGTGTGGTGATAAATTATTTATGTTATTGAAATGTATATATGAAATTAACAAGTAAGAAGATCAAACTAACGCAAAAAATATTTGAGCACATAAAATAAAATAAAAATAAATTTAAAATATATAAATAATCTTATTGATACACAAGCAAATATATTTTAAGTAGCTAGCACAACGTGGATCAGGTGGCCGAGTGGTTAAGGCGTTGGACTGCTAATCCAATGTGCTCTGCACGCGTGGTTCGAATCCCATCCTGATCGAATATTTTTTTTAACTTGTTTCTTATGCTTTTTCATTTTTATTCGTAGGCCTTTATAAATATTGACTTATCACTTTATTATTTAAATATTATAACTATATTATTTATTTTTTATAATTATATTAATTTATTTAAATATTATAATTAAACTAATTTATTTAAATAATTAAATAAATTATTATTGTAATAATAACAATATTTAAATATTAATATAACAATATTTATATATATCGATATTTATATGTATATTTCAATATTTATATATTAATCAACTAATTTATTTATTGTTCATTTATATTTTACTGTTTTGTCTGTAGATAAGAATTGTAATGAAACCATGGCAGCGAGTGCTATCAATTTGGTACCTGCTAGTCCGTTGTTATTCGTCATTTAATTTCTGTCACTATCTAATCATTTATTAAACCCTTTGCACTCCAGACCGTCGACAAATATGATGAGTCAGCAACTCCGTTAGAAATTTGGCAGCGTATTAGCCATAAAAGCATGTTTGAAATATAAAGGAAAATGCAGAACTGCAACGAATCAAAGTATTTATTTTTCAACATGATTATATAAACATTTTCTAATTATTAAATTTTGCAATAAAATGAAAGTTGCTGTTTATATCTTACACGCCGAACTGGGTCCGGCATCGGAGTGGAAAGGGTTAATTATTAGCTTCCCGAAGGAGAAGTTTATGTTTCCAACAGAAAATGCAATTCGCTTATTTTATTTAATGTTTTCTCTGGTAAAAATCGGCAATCTCTATGTAATTAATTGTTGATTTTGATGAAACTTTGCATGATTAATCAAAAATTAATCAATGTGTAGAATAATGGGCAGTGTCAAAATTTCAAAATTCTATCTCAATATTTTATAAACTTGCTAATATCAAATCAAATTGCTTAAGTTGATTATTTATTCATATGGGAAAGTTTATCACTTGTATTAAGGTTTTGTTTTATAATTTCATTTAATGGCCTTGTGTCAAGGTTAAATGCCACGCACACCTAGTTTATTATTATAATTATTTCCTGATAATTATCATTGAGTTAATTACTTACTATCCTAATTATTTAATTTACAATACATACAAACAAAAGTGATCTTTGCGAAGCTATTACAAATGATTATGCATAATATGTTCTGTAATATGTATGCTCAAATCTATATCCCGCAATATAATTATGAACAATTTGCCAAATCTCGTTTTTAATAAGATAAACCATTATCATAATAACTATAGTTTCTTTTATTTTGTAAGATATATTCGAGTACATTTATCAGGTGTACTGCCCTTTCTTTTCATTTCATTTCTTTTTTTTCCTTTCAGAAATATTGACAAGTATTAAGATTTTTTTTATTTAATGGTTCAAAATTTAATTAGAAATGATGATAATCAAAAGATATCAAGTAATATTAAGAAATAAATAAATTGATTGTTCATTATTGATTAAAAAATAATACTTTTTCTGAAACATGTAGCAATTTGATATTGATCAATTATCATAAAAATCATTTATAGAAAAAACTATATTTTTGAATTACTTACATCTCTATTATCTGTAGGTTCTATGTTTCTTGATTGTTATCCAAACTGGATGGAGGAACATTTCTAGTTGCTCTAATGACGGCTCCTGATTGATTTGTGGGTAAGCTCGGCTGAAAATATTTATATTACATTATATGCTTCTCATTTTAAATAAAATTATATTTTGAGTGATCAAATCAAATAATGTAAAATATGTTGACATACATTTGTGAAGAACATAAAAGATTTTTTGTTAATATGATTAATATATAATGAGGAAGCATTTTTGAGATTTTTTTATATTATTTGATTACATTATCAAATTATCAATAAACCATTTAGCAATACTAAAATATACTTACAGGTTGTGATGAATTTGTTATATTTGTTTTCTCAAAGTCATATGGATCTGACTCTTTTACTCCCCTACGTTTCATACATCTTTCAAATAAAGATATTAGCATCTGAAATTGAGTCATAAAAAGAATTAAAATAGTATTCCTCTGAAATGTCTGTATGAAACTTACAGGGTAGTCTGGTTTATCTGCATATTCAAGACTTTGAATGTGTTCAAGAAACTGTCTGAGATCCGAAGGTAAATGCTTCAACAGCAAGCGATGATCATATTTTTCTTTCATTAATCCTACCTAAAATCAAGGTAAAAATTAAAGCATTATTTCATTCAATTCAGAAATATTAAGATATAACACAATATGCAGGCAAATATCTTTGTAAACATTTAGCACATTGGCTATATGCAAAGCATTAACAAGTATTATGTACACAGTTAAAACAATATTTTAATTTAAAGTATTGTGAAATGTGAATTTAACAAACCTGTTCTTTATCTTTTATTTTTCTCCAAGGCAATTGTCCATTGACAAATTCTACTAACATGTAAAACAATGACCACAAATCATCATGTCTACCCATTTCTTTATTACGATGAGCATTAACAGAAGCATAACGAACAGTTCCTAAACAAAAATTAGAAACAACATTTATTGTGAGAATTGAAATTGAGAAATTAGTACTTTGTAATATAACCACAAATACAATTTTGTTAATTAAAACATAAAAAAACAGTTCATAGTAAAAAAAATACTCAATATGCGTACTAAATTATATGTTTTTAAATGAATATAACTTCCAAATGTTAAATCACAACATAAGACACATTTAAAATAAACCTGATCCATTTTTTAATAACTTTTGCTGTCATGAAATAAAAATTATGACCTATAACCTCAAAATAATTAACCAATTCAATTATGAAAAACTTTTAAATTAGTTGATATGTAATAATAAATTTGTAGAAGGTGTAATGAATATAATAATGTGATAAGCATTAAATATAAAAATTATGGTTACATGTATAACTAATTACCTCTGAAGCCAGCAGCTGCTCTAGCAGCACGTACTTCACCTGTTCCAGTAGTATATTGACGAGCTAAACCAAAATCTAACATATACACTTTGCGGTTGTTGTAAGGCATTCTGCCAATTGAAAAATTACTCTGCAAGTTAAAAGACACAATTTTAGAATTTTTTATACAAAATTGTCACTTAAGAATACAATCTGAAGTGACTAATATCAATTTTCAAGAATCACGAATGAATTTTGATAATGAGTACTCATTTTAGAAACTTTCACATAAAAATTTATAAATATTGTTTTACAATAATCTTTTACCGGTTTGATATCACGATGAAGAAAACCAACTTGATGAATGCTTTCAATTGCTTTCAATATTTGCAATCCTAAACGTAATGTGGTTGAAAGTGAAAATGCTCCTCTAGGTTGAGCTCTTCGTAATTCTGCTAAGTTTCTTCCTTGTAATTGCATCACTACATAATTAAATCTATCATTTCTACCACAGCCTATAAATCGACAGACATGTTCTTTGCCTAAAATCACATTTCTTGAATTAATTAATATGATCAACAATACTCTAGCACATGGAATTTTGTTACAAAGCAATCAAAAAAATAAAAATATTTTATTTGAAACAAATAATTAATTGTTAGAATGTAAGTTGTATGAAAATATTTTTTATATTTAAATTTCTATAGATTTATGGTAGTTAAAATTGTTTATAATCATACTGCTTCAGATTTGTTCCTTTTGAAATCATGAATTGGTTAAATTAAAATATTGATTCATCAAAAATTAACAATCATAGAATATAATTTAGATCAAACACAAACTTCTTACTTATTTCATAATAACTTAATATAAGTAACACTGATGATAATTAATGCTCTGATTCTTATCTTAACTCTCACATTACAAATTATAATTTGTTTTACCTTGTAATTTCTTTAATACTGCCACTTCCATCTTTAATACTTGCTTTGGTTGCCTTGCAGATTCTACTTTGAGTGCAACTGGCTCACGAGTTACTAAATCTAAACCTTCATAAATCTCTCCAAAGCCACCTCCACCAATCTTCCTCATTACCTGCAATCAATTTGTATTAATGTAATAAAGCTCTATATAATTTGCTTTAGATGTACTTTAAAGGTATTGGTACTTTTGACCATTTGTTCTACTATATGAACTCATTTTAAAATAATGAATTATTAAATCAATTTGTCTCTGTTGTAATTCTAACAACTATAGTTTATATTTGTTCCATATAATTCACTAATTTCAATATTCCACCTTCCATCTTTCCTTGACAATATGGCCAGGCTGAAGCAAGTCTTCGGAAGTCATCTTGATGTTATTGTTTTGATCTGTAGTAGGAGGCGATACTTGTCTCGAGGAAGACCAAACAGGTGGAAGAGTAGCGGAGCGCTGCAAAGGGGGCAGCCCTCCTTCTAACTCGACCGATGGCCTTGATTGCCTATTAAGTTAAAAAAGATATATATTCTTTATTATCACAATATATCAATATCAATACCAAAATAAAAGAATACTTTCATTTAATTTAACAGATATGCTTATTGGGTTATAACATAACAAACCTCTTTTTCTGCCTTTCATATAATAAATATTTCTCATACATAAGCCTCTAATATGTTCAACACAAATATATTTTTATTTTTGAAAACTGAGGAATGACATATGTGACAATTGAAATGGCAGACATATTACATTTTTTACAAACAAAAATAAAATAATGCCAATCAATAAACTTACAAAAAAGTATATTTGGTTTAATTCTTGTCATTTGTAACAGAATGCAATATCCAATAAAACACTAATGTCTGTCTAAGTGATGCCTGTCCGCCCACAAATAATCGATTTTTAGTTTCATTATTTTAATAAAACTTTTGATTCTAACATTAAACTATACTTCGATAAATCTTTCATATTTTAATAAAAATATCACTGAATACCAAAATTAGTGTCGGATAATAACAATTTATTTAAAGTTTTCCAACTATATATTAATCCGATGTTATCGCACATGTTTCATAAAGTCATAAAACCGAATTCACATAGAAGGACAAGAGCTTAGAAAACTTTTGCAAATCTTTTACACACAAATTTGACACAATTATGTATAAATTAGTTGAATTGTTGCAACTTCCTTACAGATTAAAACTGACGGGATCGATACAGCAGCCATGACAGTTTCATTGCGCAACTGCGACTTGAACTTAGCTTCATAGAGTCGTGGTTTTGAGAAACGTCAAAATACGAGCTTTTACATTGTAATCTTAAGAGATTCTAATTCAAGAAATACGTTCTTTATGCTTTCGTAAAATATTACTGACAAGCGAATTTAGCATAATTACATGCTAAATATAAAATACGTATTTTTATTATGTATATTTTTCACATAAGAAAACCTATCGTTGTTTTTAACACTTTCAAAAATATTGTTTCCACACTCTATCAAAAAATCAGTAATGTTCGAGTTCTTATAATAACATATTCAAGTACTACTTGGTACCATGTACGTCTAAAACGCTTTTATCTACCTCCCTAAAATAGAGATTTTGTATTTTGTCATTGTACAATGATATTGCGAGGGTTGTATTAAATATTAAAATCAAACAATTATGAATAAAATAATTATATTTAAAATTTAATCAACTTCCGGTAGGGTAAGTTATAGTAATTTTAATTTATCTACCTCCCTAAAATAGAGATTTTGTATTTTGTCATTGTACAATGATATTGCGAGGGTTGTATTAAATATTAAAATCAAACAATTATGAATAAAATAATTATATTTAAAATTTAATCAACTTCCGGTAGGGTAAGTTATAGTAATTTTAATTTAATTTAATAATAGAAAGATTAATCATGAAACTTTTGATGACAATATTTTAATAATATATAACCCTCGCAATATCATTGTACAATGACAAAATATAAAATCTCTGTAAATATACATCTGTGAACGCATGTTGCGTGCTTTAAATTCGCACCTTATATATATATATATATATATATATATATATATATATATATATTTATATGATTTTGATCAGGGTAACATCTATTAAAAAACTTGTTTATTAAAAAGTACAATTTTATTGAATCCATACGTTTCGTCTGTAATACACTTTCTTTCTACCTTTATCAGCACCAATAGCAATAAAAACCCTTAACCTATTGAAATATTATTAACAGAATGACTAATTTAGCAAAAATAATTATAAATATGTGTAAAAATGGGTAAACTTAATTTTTACTTAAAAATAAACTTATTTTTATTAACATGCGTTAGATCCTTCAAGCTATGTACTAAGTTATCAGTTAACCTTAAGTACTAAGTTATCAGTTAGCCTTAAGTTAAGTTTTTGAGGTACTTCTTACGCTTTTGAATCCAAATTTAAGGTATTTTGTGCAATCATTTTTCCGTTACCATCTTCAGTTCCATAAATTTTTCAATTGCTTGAATTGAATTATTAGTTTAGTGATAGTGATAGTTTTTGAAAGTAGTTAATTTTATTATACATTTTGAAATTTTGCTATTTTCAGTTTGTTACATTTTCGTTTCCTTTCACTGGATGGTTGATATAGACTCTGTATCAATAGTAACTACTTTCAAAAATGTACTTGCAAAAACTATCACTATCACTAAACTAATAATTCAATTCAAGAAATTGGAAAATCTATGGAATTGAAGATGATAATGGAAAAATGATTACACAAAATATCCTAAATTTGGATTCTGAAGAACTGATAACTTAGTACTTAAGGTTAACTGATAACTTAGTACACAGTATGAAAGATTTAACGGATGGCAATAAAAATAAGTTTTTTTAAAGTAAAAATTTAGTTTACCCATTTTTACACATTTTTATATATTTTTGCTAAATATATTATTATTTAACAGTCATTCTGTTAATAATATGTTAATAGGTTAAGGTTTTTTATTGGTGCTGACAAAGGTAGGAAGAAAGCATTCATTATTCAAAGAAATGTTTGTTCCACATATAACTGAATGATTGGTGTTAAGTGCAAATAATGTGTACTTGACACTAATTACTGATATTGATTTCAAACTCAAAAATTCGATTTTTGTGTCGCACACACATAAGCTTACATCTTTTTTCAGGTAAATAGAGCAAGGATAATAATTAGAGAAAGTAAAAATATGTACACTACATATTTATGAACTAACTTTGCATTCATCTCAATATTTTACTTTCATAGATTATCAAAATTTAGCAATTTTATTAGTGTGAAGTAGGTACTTAGAAATCTTTAAGAACAAAAGTTGCTTTCATAACAAAAATCAATCAAATTAGGAAAGTTAATATTGTCGACATTAAATTTTTTCTAAAAATAAGTAAACATATTGTCACAAAATCTAGATCAGTTTTACTACAGATGCCCATTTTTCACACCTTTGACTGACACAGAGTTTAGAGAACTGATCTATATAGCTTAAGAGTGATAAATGATATGTTAACAAATCGGCACGATTCACAAAACTAAAATAAATATTTAGTATGTTTCAGTGAAATACATTAAACTTATGTTTACATTAAGCTTTTCTATATTCATTTTATTAAAAGGTAATTAATTCCGTAGTGATAATAAAGTAGTAGCTACCTACCCAAAAATGAAAAAAGTGTTATTTTTTTATTTGGCTTTATAAACTAGTACATTAGCAAGCAAATTTTCTATTAAAATTCGGAATATTATTGAAATATTTTTAGGTAATAAATTTCTGATTATATGATTTATTACTATAATAAAGTCGGTACTGATTATATGATTCTTCTTCTATCTTTTTAAAAAAGTTTTTGATATGGTAATATATTCATCATGGGTTTTTCATTCCGTACTCTTGTTTCCCCAATATAGTAAAAGAACCATCACTAACATAGTGGGCAATTGTCTTTGTATATTTTAGAATACATGCAGTTACTTGAATACTTTCAAACTTTGTTTATAATGCTCTCATAAAACATAGTAGGGAAAAGGATCGATAGAAGAATGCAGTTTGGGAAATTCGTTCGTCGAAATATACTTCTTGAACTTTATGTGGAATGTATTTATTACCACAAGGCGTACGAAAGTACAGACGTTGTCTTCATGTTTTTTTATGAAAATGAAGCACTGTTTCTCAACTATTTGTGTCTTTTATTGAGGTTTTAGAACTTTTAACTACTGAACGTACTTTAATTACAAATCAATATTTATAATAATCTTTGAGATTTCATTTAGTTATTCGAATTTAGTGTATTCTATTTTAGGTTTATTTAAAATAAATTCGTTTCTATCTCTTTATAATGTGATACTACCAAAATTAATTTTCTACTACATAACTATTACGTACTATGTTTAACCAATTGCCACAACAAATTTTTTAAACATTTTGATCAAACTTAAATAAGAAATATCAGAAGTTATTCATAAATATCCGAATATACGAAGTCATTCTATATATATATATAGATATATATATATATATATATATATATATATATATATATCGGTGGGCCACATTCACCACATTAATCTTGGATTTTAAAAATCGAAGTAAAAAAATCAATCATTTTCGACTACAAACTATAGTAAAAAATCAATGCAAGATTTAAATGCAAGTAAAGATTAATTGTATTCTAAGACAATTGTTTAAAAAAATCTATTTTAGAGTTATTTATGTGAGAGCTTTTGTTTCGACGAAAAATAAAAAGAATTGACTACTAAATGTAAATATTGACTTATGAATTCGTCAGAAGTTTCTCTGTCGAAGCATGTAACACGATGTCTAGGCACGATCGTGAACGTAAACATGTAAAAACTATTAATCCTTTCTTGACAAAGATAAATGATTTTGTTAAAAAGTTTATTTTATTCAAGACGAATAATTTTTAAAGAATAATAGGGCTTGAGAAAAAAATCCAAACGTACTTATGATGGTTATAAAACTCTATTAGTCGAATAGTAGGAACATAATTTTATACTAATTGTTTGCATTTGAAATATCTTGAATACTACGTACATATTTATATCATTTATATTCATGATTTAAAATCTTATTATAAAATATATTAAAAAGTATTTAATTTAAAAAAAATTATATAATTGCATCGACATATATGTTGATAACAGATTTACGTCGACATTTCTATAAAATAATTTATAAAAATTAAAAAAAAAAATTAATTGCACAAATTATATCGCTATTAAATTAAATAAAATATCGACAACCACTAAATATTGTTATATTTTTTTTAATATTAACTCAAATTGTATATTGTACAAAAAAACTATTATATCTTACTTGACAAATATAAAAATTTCATTTTAATTTTGTTATTAATTATTTTTTATTCAAGAATATTAAATTACAAGGAATAATATGGTTTGAAATAATAGAAACAAACTTATTGACTAGTAATAGTAAACTCTATTAGTCAAACA